TAGCCAGTACACATTAAATTAAAATTCTTACTTGCTAAATAAATCCCAGCCAGATCAAGCAAACATGGTTGTTTCATGCATCTTTGCGGACAATTGCCTACAGTACATTAAAAATGTACTTTATGTCTGCTTACTCTAATTAATTGCTAAATTCAAATATTTCTATTTCAGTTCAAAGTAATTCTTTTAATTTCAATTCTACTTGACTATTTCTTTTTTACTATTGTTAAATTGTGAAGGTTGTATCTTCGCCAGCGTAAAACAAAAAATCAAAACCTTCAATTGCTAGAATAGCAGTGTAGTCTCTCTACTTGTCAACCCTATATTATACAATAATTCAGCTGTCACCTAAATGATTCAGCAGTTTTAAAAATCTCAAGGCTCTGTGTAGTTACTGTTGGGACTGTGGAACTGTGGTTTTTTTTATTCAGAATTGAATCAATATGAGAATTAATCATAGCAAGCACTTCCTTTTGAATCAAACATCAAAACTATGAGAACACCATATAAAAACTAGTTCTTTGAAAAAGTTAAAAATAAATTTTAAAGTTTGACTGAGCCACTGTTCTACAGTCAAGGATTTTTCATGCCTTTGCAAGATATATTTTTTAAAGAATAATTCAGAGTTGCCAGAGGATGCTATACATTTTTGTATGCTATACTGATAATGCCTATTCCAGACTTCCATAAATACTTGTAGGCTCTAGGAAGCAGTGATGCAGGGACAGCTTTAATGGCAATTACTTTAATTCCATATATGATAAGCATGCTATATCATTTTTGTGATACAACAGCATACAAATTAAGTCCTCTCTGCTTTATCATACAAAGATCTGATAACCCTCCCAACAGATTTACTACACAAAACAACCTAGGACAACTAGAACAATGATACAAGTTGGCACCATTTACAAAGCCAAAATACAACAGTGTATAATGGGAGTAAAGAAATAGGAAAGGGGGAGGGTGAGAGATTTGGTACCTACTGTGGTAATAAAAAACTTCCAAGATTACTCTAACTGAAAGAGTAAAGTTATTTTCTCCTTCCTTTTTTTCCCAGTTTTACTTTGTGCATTTGACAGTACTTTGTGCACTGTCAGTTTCATTGTTTTGTTTGTCAGTTGCATGCCTGATCTCATGCAGTATGCATGCTGTTTCCCCAAAGGACAGGGTGAGTCTCCAAGGGGTGAGAGATTGGTTTCCTTTTCCTGAAGGGGGGAAGTCAGCTTTCTAAAGTTTGGGAAACACTGCATCACACTCTGGGATAGAGCTCATGCCAGGGCTTGTGTACCAGTAACAGCAACAGTAAGTCTGAAGCTGATATGGCAGCAGTCAAACATGGGGGCTGGGGGAGAGAGCAGCAGCTGACTGGTTGTCTTGAGCAGGTTTGGCATTACACTCAGACCCACCTCAAAAGTCCCTTTCTAAAAGCAGCAGCAACAAAGAGAAGAGAGAATTATTTCAAAACAAAATTAATTTAAAAAAAAAAAAAAAAAAAGAAATGTCAGGACTTACTAATTAAGGGGGCTTTATCAGAAAAACATTTTAAGTTAGTTTTAGGATATTCAAGTTTGTCCCTTTAAACAAACTAGTTTTTAAAAGATGTAACTTGAATAGATCCTATCGCTATGGACTGCCATTCATAGCATTAGTGCTTGTCTACACATGGAGTTATTCAGGGAAAACTGCTCTTGAATAACTCCATGCATGGACACTTTTTCCAGAGTAAGGCGGCCTTGTTCCTGTTTAGCTTAAACCACACTAAACAGGAACAAGGCAGCCTTATTCCAAAATAAAAGTGTCCCGGAGCCATTTGGGAATAGCCATTCCTAAATAACTCCATGTGTACTGTAGATAAGCCTTTAGAAATAAAAAAGGAAACAGCATATCTGGTGAAGAAGCCCTCCTGTTGGTGTGGTATCTGCACTGAAGTTCTGCAGAGGTGCAGCTGCACCACTGTAGACGTACCCTTAGGCGACGTCTATACTTGGAGCTGGGAAGATGATTCATAGTTTGCATAGACGTCCCTGTGTCAGCGCGCTACAAACAGCAGCGTAGCCATGGTAGCACAGCAGCAACTCAGACTAGTCTCTGCAAATATGTACATGCCTAGACCCCCTGGGTTCATACTGAGGGCTTGTCTACACTAGCAAGTTTTGTTGACAAAACTTATGTCGACACCCAAAAAACAACAAAACAAAAATCTCCAAAGGATGTTCACACTTGCTCCCTCTGTCGACAGATCGTGTCCAAACTGGGGACACCATCATTGACAGGGTGAGCAATGCACCATGGGTATGTATCCCACAGTGCACTGTTGTGGGAAGGAAGAGCTGATCGCTGCGCATCTTGGGATTCTCTACGAGTTCTCCCACAGCCCCTTCAGTTGCCGAGAACAGCATCATGAGTAGCTCTGTGAGCTCTCCATGCTGAGGAATGGCAAAGCAGCACAGCAGGCTGTCCCCCTCCCTCTGCAGCAGCAGTCTGCCTGCTGCTGTGTTCCTAGTGCAGCGCAGAACAGGAGCATTCCAATGATTTGCTCTTTGTTTGTTCCCCAAATGGAGCAGCACACAGATACTTCCTGGAGCTTTGAAAGGGGAGGGGCGCATGCCTGCAGGGCAGCAGAGATCAAAACAGTGAAGCTATGTCCTCACTGGGGGGGGGGGGGGGGGGTCGATTTAAGATACGCAAATTCAGCTACGCGAATAGCTGAATTCGACGTATCCGAGCCGACTTACCCCGCTGTGAGGACGGCGGCAAATCGACCTCCGCGGCTCCCCCGTTGACGGCGCTTACTCCTACCTGCGCTGGTGGAGTACAAGCCTCAATTCGGGGATCGACTGTCGCATCCCGACGAGACGCGATAATTTGATCCCCGGGAGATCGATTTCTACCCGCCGATTCAGGCCGGTAGTGTAGACGTAGCCTGAGCAATCAGGGCAGGCATTGTGGTGGAAGCCAGTTCTGTATGCTCTTGCTGTTGTGTCGCCAAAAGGCAGTTTTTGGCGACAAAACTTGCCAGCATAGACAAGCCCTGAGATGGCTAAGCAGCCCATGCTACCCCAGCTACAATGCTATTCTTTTTTTTTTTAAAGGTGTGTTCTTAACCCAGGTTTCTTCTTAACCTGGGTTAGCCAACCTGAGTTAAGAACACACATTTTTTTTCCCCAGTGTAGACATACTTTGTTTTGGAAAATAACAACATTTTTAGGGTAATGCTATAAAAGACTAAATATATTCATGCATGATATATTACCATTTTCACACAAATGTGTGGGAGTGGGGGGGGGAGGAGGGGGAGAAGAGAGAAATCAGTCCAACAATTTTAAAAGGAGCTACATATAGCCACCTTTTTAGCTCATTGAAAGAGGAACAATCACATTTATAAGACCCTTCAAAGGAGTTCACTTGATATACAGTGACAATCACACAATCTTTTGAAAGTTAAGTATTGTAAGCTTACAAGTGTATTTTGTACAGAGGGATCTACAAAGCATATCTAGACATGCACACTAGCTGCATTACTAAGTCTAAGAAAAACCTCATAAAAATTTGAAAAACAAAGTTATTTAAGATCAACCAGTAGAGCACA